AAGAAAAATAATTACTATAATTGTGCAAAGCTGACCAGTAAAGCAAAAGTAAAGCTAAGCCTAGTGACTACAAGTTTTTCTGAAGATCTTTTATCAAGAATTTTTAAAAGTAGAGATGATGTCCATTGAAAAATCTCTGATTCTGTCTACAGAATCTAATACTACAGGATTATATAGAATACAATCTAATTCTAGAAACAGGTATTTCTAGTTGTGCTAGTTACTACAGTTGGTAGAGATCTTCACTCTAAAATACTTTTTAGTCTGAAATAAAAATCTTATCCTTTGTGCTCAATTTGCCTAGGTCAACTTCTGAAGTGCATGTCAAATAATGTAATCCTTTTTTTGTTTGTGTTTGTGTGTGTACAACATGCTTGTAATAATATTTTCAGGAAAATACTATGAAGAGCTAATTATTGTTTTCCATAACTCCAAGTCACCTTCTATTTTTTTATTTTCAAGTTACCTTGACCTTGAATTTCAAATAGAAAGTCTGTCTTAGAAACTGGAAAATCTCAAGCAAGCACACTGAAACAATATATATTACAAAATGTGTTAGTTTAAGTAATCTTCCCAATCCATGCACAGAAGAGAATTCCCAGAGAAAAGATGGAAGTATGTGTTACAGCTTATACCACAGATCAGCTATTTAGTTAAATTTCCAGGAAAGTAACCCACAAGCTCAAAGTGACAGCGGGTCTTGGAGCGTACACAATTTGGAAATGATATTACAGGCTTGAGCAAAGGGAATTACATGAGCAACTGAGCCAAGCAGGCAATTTCCAGTGCCAACAATATGGGAGATAAAAAATAGAGATTGTTTTGGAGTCAGTATTTGACGAGTGCACTAAGGCAGGACATACATCTTTGTATTTGTCCTACAACATATTTGATTGATATGCAGGTAGGGAAGAAGGGAATTAATAACAAAACCCAAAATAATGAAAAAGCTGCAGATTATTTCTGTCTGTTTGAAGTGTTATCATTAAAATCTGCTGATCATACTGGAAAATTAGCACACGTTTGAAGTCATACCATGCATCCTTATAAATTATCAGAAAGTTTCCCTGGATTCTTGGCCTTCTGTTAAGTCCATAAAACATATCTTGTACTTCATCTTCTTCTGATTCTCCAAAAGTGAATTTTTTAATTTGGAAGAAAAATACAGTAAGAGAACAAACTAGATAAAAAAAAGGAAGAAGTTGAGATATGATAACAGAAGAAGGGTCAGTTCAGAAAAAAAAGAAGGGAGGGCAATGGCACTGTTTGTATGCTTTGTAAACTGACTGTTCATCCCTTAATTTTCTAAGTTACCCTGAAAAACATCAGCAAAATAGTAATCTCACTTGCAAAAGTGCATAATGATATTTCACATTGCACAGAATATATCACATAATGCACAGAATAATTTTAAAAATTTGGACAAAAATGCATGAACTATAGATGCAGCGATGGGTTCTGAACTAGGTATTACCATTCAGGAAAGGCTTCATGGAATTGTATTAGGAAATTTTATGACAGTGCCATCTCATTGTCCTATTAAAAACAGAATAATCCACAACACCAGAAAAGAAAAGAGACCTAGGAAATTTCATTGTGCCAGGGAATTATCTGTAGTGTTCTCAGAACATGTGCAGCTCTGGTCTCACTCTCTTTAAAAGGATGTGGAACAAAGAGGTACAAAGAGTGACACAGATGATCAAAGGCATTTAAGGACTTCTGAACAATCTTCAGCCTGAAAAATATCTTTAGGGCAGATACAGAAAGAGCCTAAAAATTCTTAAGCAGAATAAAACATGATAAATTTTTCATTTGCCTCTTCCAGTATTAGGAAATACCAAATGAAGCTAGTAGGTGACAGGCTCAGAATAAGCACAGTTCATCTCACCATCCCTGTCATATTCTGGAACTCTGTTGCAAAACTGTCTGTGCTCAAACTTTGCACTGACCCAAAAGGCAATTTAAAAACTCAGAGAAGAAAAATCTATATATTAAATTAAAAGTAATGGGACTGCCTACCATAGAAGGCTAAGAAAATAAGCACATCCAGTGATCACCAACATTTTCTCTCTTCCACAGTTAGACACCAAGCCAGCCCTAATGAAACCTCAACTCTCTCCCTGAGAAAGTGCTTAGAGAAAAAAACACATGACAGAAAGCAATTAATCACCAGAAATAACAAACTGAAGTGAACTAGGGGGCTTTAGGGGTCAGAAGGATAAAACTTGGTGACTAAAGGGCAGCCAAAACAGAGCACCTGAGCACCAGCCCCAGCCAGGGACAACGCTGGGATCGTAAGCACCACTACCCAAGCTGCTAGCGGCTCTCCTGGGAACCAGGGACAGTCAGAAAAAGAAAAAGTCAGAAAAAGAAAAAGAAAAAGAAACAGATTTTAGGGGATGACTCATCCAGCCGATGTGCCTCTATTAGCACAACACTCGAGCATGTGCTTGATAGAGCCATAAGGCCCATGGAAGTTAATGATGGTGATGTAAAATAAATTTTCCATCAGACAGGCGCAGGAGTTTTGTGTAAAGTGCAAAGATAAAATCTGAACTTGTTGAAGGGCAAGTTCATCTGGAAAGATGAAGCAGAGAGACCAGAGTGGCACAGACCCAAAAGGATATGGCAAAAGTGGAAAATGAAAGGTGGGAATCAATGCTGCACATAAAGACTTGGAGCAAAAGCAGGAGGAGGGTTTGTATCTCGTGCTTGAGGGGAAGCTGAGATCAAGACAAGGTGTACCAAACCTAGTGTTTTATTGCAAGGCAAAAGAAAGTCATAATCCAAGTTAGTCATAATCTAACATGGATTAGACAACAAAATAAGTGGGAAAGTGAGCCCTGTGCATGAAGGAATAAACAGGGAGATCTGGAAGCAGCAAGGAAGAATGTCAATGGAGCAAAAGTTGGTGCCAGAGTCTGTCAGTTACTTTCTCAAGAAACCAGTAAAATATTAAGGAAGGAGAAGGTTGGGTTGGCTGTGGAACTGCAAAATTATGGAAGGTACTGGAAGCAGCTATCTAGAAAAATCAAAGCTGTTGGAGACTAACGCCTTCACAAAAAAAATGGACAACAAGCAAAACCTTCTGAAATTCCTTCTCAATGGGGATGCTTTTAACCACTCTGCCATTTACTGCAGATTTTGTGAAGACTCAATATATTCAAGAGTTGAATTAAACTGCTCATTTAAAACAACCAAAAAAAAACTTCATTAAAAATTTAAGTTAAATCTTTATTTTAAATTGCCAAGAAACTAAACAAAAACCTTTTAACTTGCTAACTTCCTGTATCTCAAATCTTTTGCTCTTTCAAAAATAGAACTCCAACCACCAAGATCACCTTTTCCCAAGTGCACGCTACCATGAAATTGGAAGCATGCCTGAAAAGTCAGAAAATTAAGCCTTTTTTTTGGAATAAAAATGATGAAGAGAACATCACAGAAATGCCTTGGGAAATCTCCGTACCATTTTGGGAGGATTTCAGCTTACAGACATCTTCAGAACACCGTACAGCTGTGACCAGCAGGGAGGCAGATGGAGAACTGGAGACAAAAACTGTGCAGCAAGCAATGTACACAGCCCAATCCTTGATCACCAGCAATATCCCAAAGCACTTCTCTTCCCACACCAGCAGATAAATAAAATCAGGATTATTTAGAAGGGGTAACCATATGGTTTGAATAATTTGTAAATGCTATTTTCAACACATTACTATAATACATGGTAAAGACCTACAGAATAGGGTCAAAACTTGCTGTTTTATAACCAACCTGTTCCATTTAGGTGCAGAGACAAGAGTTGATGGCTCTATATCAATTATTCCACATGCTGTTCCTACCTTCATAGACACAGAAAAAAACAATTGTTCTGTGTGGGGCATATTATTGGGCTCCTGAGCTCAAATAAATATTTATCAGCCTTGCTGATAATTATTTGCTAGTAAATATTTGTTTAAATTGTGAAGTCCTGACTTTCCTTTTTAAATTCCATTTCAGCCTACATGCATCTGTCTGCTTTGTGCCTTCCTAGTGCAAAATGCTGAAATATGTAAAAAAAAAAAAAAAAAAAAAAAAAAAAAGAGGAAAAAAAAATGTAGACGTATCAATTACAAGAAAGAAAATCAACACAAAAACTTGAAATCCATTACCCTTAAACTGGGTCCTTTCTCTCCCCAACTCCTTCATTCCCTCTCACCTTTTTTTAATTAATGAAGTCTCAGAATCCAGAAGACACTTTTATTCTAAATTAAGGTATCTGCAATGCTGCAAGAACAGCACCGATGAGGGTTTTTGTCTGGATACAGTGCCTGCTTTCCAATTTTCACTGGGGTTTTTTTTGGGTTTTTTTTTTTTTTTTAGCATATACAAAACATTGCAGAAGCACATGTAAATCATCACTCTCTTGCCCAGTGGAACAGAATTTCAGTTAGCAATGCCAAAAGTTGCCTACAGAAGGCATCTACATCTGGTCTGCTACATCCAAGGCAGCAACCACAGGCACACAGGGTTTGCTTTGTTCAGAATTCATCTCTGTGGTGCAGCTGAGCCTCAGATATAAAAAAAAAAACCAAAAAAAACCCCAAACCTATGAGCCCTCTGGGGTTAAACCGAAAAATGTTTTCAGTCACAACAACTTTTTGGGGGAGGCAGCAAAGCTGTAACAATGTATGCAAGAGGTTTTATGTAAATCATTAAAGGCCTCCTGACTTCAATTGTTGCTAACACCAAGTTGCTTAATGTACACTTGAGAGTGTGAAGGCAGAACAGATGAATAGTCTCACAAATCCTATCTGCTCAGTTGGAAAAATGCAAAAATATTTGTCGAATCTAAGGAAAAAAAAATCTGATTCCTGCTCACTGCCATTCAAACTTAAAAGTCAAATTAATATTCATGATTTCTGAGTGCATGATGGTTTTTAACTGGGAGGCAGAAGGGGCGGTACAATCAGTAAACAAATTTACAAAATTACTGTCAAATCCACACAGAATTCAATACCTACCTAGCCATTCGTTGAATTTTTTTACTTCACTAGGAAGTCCCAGCTCAGTAAAATCACCAGCATGTATTAACACATCTCCATATGGCATTTGGATGGGATCAGTTCTTGAGTGAGTATCAGAAATACAGACAAATCGTGTATATCCTGGAGGCTTCGGAGCATCATGGGGCACCGGATCAACCCTGTAGGAAATGCATCATAACAAGGTTATAAAGTATTTACGTACTCCTCAGTGTCTGCTTTGCAATTCTGACACTACTTTTTTACCTTTATAAAAGATTACACAGACTTCTAAATCTGCCTGATGGAAGGATTTATTAAAACAAACCTAACACTAATGGGAGGTGTAAAAATTCTTGATGTTCACATCACAACATTTTCAGTATTTGTTGGGTAGATAGATTAATTTAAAGAGATTAAGGAAAAGAGATTGGACTACAGCAGCAATTCTGACACAAATACTTACAAATAAATCAAAGGCATTGCTATTTTCAAAGGAAAAGTACTATCCCATTCCATTGTTTAAATATGATTACACTGTACACAGGGAAAAGATTTAGTTTAGATACATAAATACATTCCGATGCTTTTTTTCTTTCTAATTATAACTTCCTTTCTGCAAGTTACTCAATTTGAGCAAATTTAATTAACCCATTTTGGAGATATGTTTCAGTGTGTTAATGCAAAGCAACATTAAAACTCTCCTAACAGCTGTACATTAGCTGTACTCCTGACTGCTGTCAGGACAAAGTGACGACTTTCTGGGCCTAATTACACTAAATGAAATCAGATGCTGTGAGGGGTGAGGCTGCATTGTTCAGAGCCCAGTCTCTACAGTCAAAACTGAAGAAACAAAAAGATCATCATCCCAGTTTGATGAGACTCATAATTTACAAGAGGAACTCAGAGAACACCTCTCTGCTATAGAAGGATACTTGTTTTCAAATCAATCTTTTTAACCTCAATCCATATTTTGTTTGAATACATAGAAGCAAATCTATCTACATGCAGCTATACTGTATCTGCTACTCCAGTTAGAGAATTCTCATGGAAAAAAAAAAAAATCAAAAAGCAAGAGATGCAAGAATTATATTAGTGTCACTAGAAGCCAGAGAGATATATGGAATTGTTATGAACTATTTTACTTTTTCAACATTTCTTTTGAAAAGGCAAATAAAATTTGTTTTGCTCACTGTTGCAGTATACAGCACATATTTCTATCCTTTGCTGGTTGTTCTTCAATTCAGGAGCTTACTTGCACATAGACAAACTCAGGGGAAAAAAATCATAGAGATCTTTGCTTTTAATAATACTACTTCTGTTTACTAGGTAAATTTTCAAAAAGCATTTTACTGCTAAAAAGGCATAAGATGATAATTTTTAATCACTCAACCTTTTCTCCGTGTCAAAAAATATATGAAAATTCTAGGCAGATAAACTGATGCTGAGGTGTGGTTTTAAACTGATGTGGTTTTGACAACTTCACAGGATTAGTGAGAGGGTGAGGAACTAATCTAAAACATTGAAATCTTGTTAAATACAGAAAAAGGTCTTAGCATTTTCCACAATGTAACTACAAGACCAGAGTATGAACCAATTATTTTGTATCCATCTTTGACACTTTGGAAGAAGAAATTTTTTTTTTACAGCAAAACTGGAGGAGCAGCCTTTTCACACAAACACCTTAGGGTTGTCTTTCTGAAGTTCCAGGTCTTGAGCAGAAAGTAGCTAAATATGAGCTGAGGGGTAAACCCAGCTGTGATCAAATCCTGCCTGATGAACTACATGCCAGGGGCATATGTAAGCAGGAATGTAATGGGAACTCCAAAATTGGGGTGGCAAAGAGTGCAGTGCTTGGACTCCAAGCAGCTGGAAACACCTCGTGTAGGGCATTTGGGGCAGGGCAGATGAAGGAGAAGGGTTGAGATGCTAAAAATGCCTCTGTTTTGGAGGAGGAGAAAGCTGCACGGGGCAAGCTCCAGGGTAGGCAGCAGGGGTGCAGAGGAATGGGGGTGGTGAATGGTGGGGCTCAGACTGGGGGGCCAGGATTTGCCCTCAGGTGGGAGCTGTGTGAAGGATGATGCAGTCAGTTCATAAAATGAACCGGGACGGTTGGATAAAAATGATGAGGGGCTGACCTTGGCTATCACTGTAGCTGTTCAAGCTAAAAGAATTAAACATCAGTCGAGTAAACTGAATTATTGCTCTCCCTGCCCAACGCTTCTCAAAGCGGGTTACAGATGGCATTACTGAGCCAGCTTTAAATAATTGGTAATGCCTTGGCAAACATAAGAATATGGACTGGTCTAAAACACCACTTTTTGACTTTTCATGGTAGGGTAGCCTTTAAAGCAGGTCCAGCTTCTCCTTCAGAAATCTTTTAAAGCTCAGCACAGCAGTAAGGCGGGTGTTAGGGAGCAGTGTACGTTTCACATAGGAAGCTGTGTGGAAAGAACAGCAGACTTACCATGGCAACCCCATGTAGCACAAAATGCACATGCCTTGGATGGGGATGGGGAAGGTGTGGACAGCATTTTCCTGGTTGCTGAGGCATGTGTAACTTTTAAATTCTCTGCAATAGGCCAGAGGATTTTCGTGGGGGAAAAGGCATCAATGCAAAAACCCTACCCAAATAAATGAGATGCAGATTTCTCATGTTGAAGTGATATGCACGCACTGACACCATATATAGGTAAAAGCATATGTCAAGTTTCACAAACTCATCTAAGTTGTATTACTGGAAATAATTTCTGAAGGCTCAATCCCCATATTCTTGTGTAACGCGTTCCCACAGCAGCTGTCACACCAACACCCAATGCACAGCTTGCAGCATGAGCAGAGGAATACAGATCTGCTGATTATTTCTGTGCAAATGCTTTTGTTTTTCTTTACATCAGTAGGAAAACTTGCAGAGAAACTGAAAAGCGAAGTTGGAACATCTCAGAGCAAAAACACTTCTAGAGGGTAGTTTATACACTAGATTTCAGTACTTCAGGAAGGAGTGAGACAGGCACTTTCCAGAAATGACTGATGGACTTGAAAACACTGGCAGAATTTACCATTCTCCTTGTCAGAGGCAACCCAGTCATCTCACAAGCACAGGGATGCCAGACTACGACAGGTCCAGAAAGGGCTGGCAGCATGTTCTGGGAGCTAAAACATCAAATTAAGAAATCCAAACCTGCACAGAGGCCCAAGGAAGATATGCAACAAGACTGAATCCTGAAGAAAATGAGCATACAATCCTCCTCCCACCCCGTGGTGAAAGTAGTTTACTGAGAGTTCAGATGTTAAGGGGTCTGTGTGAAATGTTTATGTTTGCCTGCAACATCACTAATGGAGGTATTCTGAACCATGCACAAAGCCTGGAGTTAAGGACAAAACTTACATGCACAGAAACGGGGCTAGGATTTCACCCACAACAATCATGTGAATAAAAGGTGCTTTTGTCACCCTTTTTATGTCTATTTTCCCTTCTTTGTTACTCTTCTATTCACTGGTAGGAAGAAAAAGCAATCCTACTGGTATTCAGAAACATTATTTACTATTTCTGTGCAAAGAGAAAGTGTAGGTCAGATTGTGGTACGTGTTTCAATTGATTTGGCCTGTTTTTCTATTTGCACAAGCTTCTTCAATAGTATTAATCATTCATGAGAGATTGCTAAACTCTTCTGAGGAACTGTTTTCTAAGGACATCTTATTTTCAACTCCTTGCTTGGGTGCTGGGTTTCCATTATGTAGCTGACTGCCTAAACCTCCAGTACCATGATTTCTTACTGGTTAGAAGTTTAAGCAGTATATTGTTCAGAACCAAGTAAATACTACTAAATAATTTATCTTCAGCCCGGGAAAAACATTCAGCTTTTAAGATCAAGAAACAAATTCCTAAGTGCCCAGGAGCTGTCTGAATATTCACAAAGAATAGCTAAGCCTCAACAAATCAGGCAACCTGCATTTGGCATTTTCATTTGTAAAAGTATTTCTGAACCCACATTTGTTTGTTTGTACTTTTTCTACCATTTGCCAGCTCTATAAACAAAAGATGTTTCCCAGTGCTAACACTCAACTCATTTTACTGTTTGCATTTCAGTAGGCTCTAAAAAACCCCAACACAGACCATAATATACTGCCCCCAAAAACCGAGTGTTTGCTCACCATTTCGATATACATGTTAGTCATCAGATTTTTTATATAATCTAATTTATGCCAAAGAAGCATTCACTAAATAGACACATAGCATTCAACTAGTCACAAGTGCTGAGGTTTTTAACTGTAGAAATCACAACCTACGTTTTTAAGTTATCAAATCATATTAAATACCAAAAATGTAAACTAAGTGACTATTTGTTCAGTCTTCCTAAAGGAAAAGGGTTCTCTTTAAAAATATTTGTTCAGTCTTCCTAAAGGAAAAGGGTTCTCTTTAAAAAATGAAAACCAGCCATCTGATCTAAAGATAAGGCTGCTTCTCTCTTTAATAAACACAATAAAATGGTGCAGACATTTTTATTCCCTATAAAAATATTTTACAGTAGAATTTTATACTTAATTTATTTGTAATAGCTTTACTGTTTTGCTCTTCCTTCTGGCTTTAAACTTTATGGAAGGTTTAATTTCGTAATTATAATTCTCCAGTTTACGTTACAAGTAAATCATCTAGAGCAGTTAATTTTACTGATGTTGTCGTTATATAAGAAGTCAGAAACAAACACATTATTTTAATTACTCTTTAAGCACTTGGCTCTTTTGGAAAGTAAGTTTTCGGATGGGTGCCCACAGTAGTTTATGTATTGATACGATTTTTCCCTTGTATGCAGCTGTAATATAACCAACCAAACAGAATGTGTGCTACGCAGATCCAGGTATTTTCAGCAGCCATGTACATCAATATGCAAGCTCACAAAGCAAACAAACGTTATTAAGATTGCAGAAAGTATCATCCTTGTAGCATCTCGTGTTTTATTGCCACCGCTTGTTTTTTATTTCTCTTTTTAATACTTAAGTAGTATACTTACACCAGTGAGGGAATCTTTTAACAAAGTACTTTTCAAATGGACTGATTTCTTGTCGTTATAGTAAATATTATTAGAAAGGCAACAGAACAGCGTTCCTTGAATTCTTTTTGCCTGATCCATCAAATACCACATCGACAAGGCAATAACCATTCCGAAGGCTGCGCCGGAGCAATAACAGCACCGTGATACTTACATTTGCACATGCGGGGGCTGGAAGCGTCCCTGGTTAATGTTGTAGAAGGTGAAAGCCTGCGTGGGGTTGGAGCTGTACTCATCCACCTCGATGATGAGCCGGCTGTGCTGGTGCCTCCTGGCTGCCATGATGTGGGACTGGGCGAAGGCCATGTCTGCGCGCGGGGCCGGCGCCCTCAGGCCACCATCTCTGCTATCTGCCTGCTGCGGGGGCCAGCACCATGACAGCCCCCGGCCCGGCCAGCACGCTCCCCGTCCAGGCACCTGCGGCACAGGGAGACACGCGGCGTGACTGTCGGACAGTCTCCCCGTTTGCGCTGCGCAACCCCAGGTGAAGGTGGGGGGATGAAGATGGACTGCTCAAAGCACACCAACTTTTCCAGCTCAGCGACCTGATGGGCACGCTTTAATTCGGGGTGGGAAGCACGGAGTGAAAGTAAACTTGCTACAGAACACGGCTCAAGTATTTCAGACTTTCAATCCAAACCCAAAAGACAAGACAAGACCATAATTCTGAAAGCCACGTCAAATCGCAATGTTTTTCCAACACAATAATTTACTTGCTTTTTTTGTTTTTTCATAGAACTGATTGTCCTAGGTTATAATATTGGGGTGTATTCCATTACCACCTCGAGCTGCAATCCCTTTCTTTCCTTATCTCGTGGCTCAGAGATAAGTCCCTCCAGGAGAACCTGTTCTTTTAGCCACATGACTGATAAGATCGCAGCATTCCATTGTGAGATGCTCCACCCAGAGGGAGGAGCCAAACGATGCCATCAAGGATATCAGCGGGGTTGTGCAGACAGCAAGGAGATCCCCTCTTCCAAGAGGAACAGCTGAGACCTTCTCTGCACTGGACCTCCAGAGGGAAACTACATCAGTCCACAGGACCCCTGCTTGGACAGAACCATATCTGCTACCACTGCCCCAGCCAGCAAGTGTCAGGTTGTATCTCTGACTCTGTCGGTGGTTCTTCTTTTGTGCTATTGTATATATTTGGTTCTTTGTTCCCTTTTTCCTAATAAATTGTATTTCAGACTTAGAGCCTCTCACAGGTTTTGCTTTTCAAACCACTGATGAAGTTTTATTCCCCATCCTCCCTCAGAAAACCCTCACCAAACCTGAAATGGAATACATTACTACACACAACTCAAATGCAAGCTAATTGAACAAGAACTGGTTTAACCAAATTTTCCCAAACTCTGTGACATTTATTATGGAGAAGCATTGCAAGTGCCTGTTCCTTACATCAGAACAGTTTTCTGTGCGCTCGATCCTGGCTCTATAGCACCACTGAAGGAACTTCTTGAGGAGCACACAACTCCTTGAGTAAAGGACATAAATATGAAGGGCTCCCCTCCTCAAATACTTTTCAGTCAGCACTAACCCAGCATTCTGGATTCACAGGAAAACAGACTGATGCCAAGGCTAATACACAGTTAAATGTTACTAAAAAAATGTAAAATCCATACAGGTTTTATGTTTGGGAATAAGTTTTTCCCTGAAGGTTATGCAAGTCTAGAACAGCAGTACCAAAAATGGGTAGGGGAAGAACAATGTGAAACAAACTGAATGCAAAGAGTATCCCCTAGAAACATCAGAACGTAATTTAAATGTGAATTTTGCTCTCATTTCCCAGTTTTAATAAAAAATGGATTATAAGCTATAAAGGTGGGTATTTTTACAGTATAACTTTGCATCCTTTTTAAAAGTTGTCTGACTTAAATATTGACTTTCATGCAAGCAGGGGCTCTTCTAGGGAATACAAGCAGTCTGATTCAAAGATGTATTTCATGAAAATCCATGGTAGAATGCAGCAACTCACTTAATATGCAGAGTTTTGGACAGGAGGACTAGAAGTATTTTCTGTGACCCTGCTGATGTGCCTTTCTGCCATTCTGAAGGGACCACTACCAAGAGTGATGGATGAGGGAGGCCTTCACAGTCACTCAGATTTTTAAAGCTATTTACAAGTACTTTGGTCAAATTCAGTTTAGAGGCAGTCAAGCACTTAAGCATCTTTAAAAATCTGGGCTGCAGCCCTCTGCTTAACTACCACAGATGCTAAGCGCTCCAAGAAGTGGCAGAGTATTTTTGTTTGGGGAAATCTTGTTCTCAGGAAGCCGAAATGAAAGATTCAGCTTGGTTTTTGTCACTGGCTGAATGGCTGTAAGATGATGACAAGTTGCTGTCACTAACAAGCCACAGCAAAACAGCCTCAGAATAAAGGAGCAGATTCCTACATGCCCTCCCGTAGAATGGAGTGGTAAGGAAATGCTAGCATAACAACAAAGAAAATTTGGGATTTCAAACACTCTCAGATGCTGAGTTCAGGCTACAGAAGAAGCAGCAGCACAAAGGAATGTGCCAGAGCAGGGGGAGGGAAGAGAGGCATGATCCTTGTAAGAATAATCAAGTATAAATTGCTGCATTTAGGAAATAAGAAATTATGACAGCAGATGTGAAGACTCTTCCCTAAGGAGCTTCCTGTAATAAATGATGCATTTGTAAAGTCTGAATAGTCAAGGTCAAAGATTTTATAGGGGGCAAACTGTTCTAAGTGAACCTACTTCTGTTTGAAAGAAACTATTAGAACTGGCGACCTCTAGAAATATTCTCTAGTAAGATAAATAATTTATGATTCCACACCTCTACATAAAGATTTCAAACTACCTGAAAAACAGCCTTTTTTTTACAATTCGGGTGTTGTGCCCGCTTTACACACAACTGAACCAGGGTTTCAAAGGAGTAAAGGCACTGCCTTGGGGACCCAGAATCTTTCTTTAGCCTTGGGAAGCTCTTAGGGGCTCACAGTAGCTGAGGAAACAGCTTCTGTCACTCTCCTCTTTTGTCCTTACAACTTCTCTGCACCTGCAGAAACTTCTCTTTATCTGCAGAAAGAGCAGATAAATGTGCACCTACCCCAATATCCACCCTTTGGCTCTCTTCCTCTTTCTGGGTTAGTGGAATAGCACTTCCCAACACAATCTAACTCAAAAGACAAACTTGATTGGGAACAGAAACACATCAAATACTTGACACTTGACACACCCTCTAGTGCTGAAGAGCTCTTTTAGGCAGGGAATCAACCCTTGCACTCAGGAAAATGAGTGAACCACACCATTAGGCAGCCTGAGAGAATGCCAGCAAACACCCAGCAAAACGTTCACCCTATATACAGGTGAAAAATGAAAAGACAACCTACTTCCTTTGATGTTAAAAAAAAAAAAAGGAAAGGGAAAAAATATGCAACAGCATGTTGAGCCTTCTGCTCAGTGACAGTCACTCACTGCCAACCCTGGACACATAAAAACCATAAAGGGAAGGGAAGGGAAGGGAAGGGAAGGGAAGGGAAGGGAAGGGAAGGGAAGGGAAGGGAAGGGAAGGGAAGGGAAGGGAAGGGAAGGGAAGGGAAGGGAAGGGAAGGGAAGGGAAGGGAAGGGAAGGGAAGGGAAGGGAAGGGAAGGGAAGGGAAGGGAAGGGAAGGGAAGGGAAGGGAAGGGAAGGGAAGGGAAGGGAAGGGAAGGGAAGGGAAGGGAAGGGAAGGGAAGGGAAGGGAAGGGAAGGGAAGGGAAGGGAAGGGAAGGGAAGGGAAGGGAAGGGAAGGGAAGGGAAGGGAAGGGAAGGGAAGGGAAGGGAAGGGAAGGGAAGGGAAGGGAAGGGAAGGGAAGGGAAGGGAAGGGAAGGGAAGGGAAGGGAAGGGAAGGGAAGGGAAGGGAAGGGAAGGGAAGGGAAGGGAAGGGAAGGGAAGGGAAGGGAAGGGAAGGGAAGGGAAGGGAAGGGAAGGGAAGGGAAGGGAAGGAAGGGAAGGGAAGGGAAGGGAAGGGAAGGGAAGGGAAGGGAAGGGAAGGGAAGGGAAGGGAAGGGAAGGGAAGGGAAGGAAGGGAAGGGAAGGAAAGGAAAGGAAAGGAAAGGAAAGGAAAGGAAAGGAAAGGAAAGGAAAGGAAAGGAAAGGAAAGGAAAGGAAAGGAAAGGAAAGGAAAGGAAAGGAAAGGAAAGGAAAGAAGATAGATCCTGCCAAAAAAAATATATATATATAAAAAAAAGAACAGCAGTGATAGAAATGCCCTGTGCTAAACAGAAATCATCTATGTAACACACGGGATCAGTAAGCATAATTCAATAGCAAGCTGATTTCAAGCTCATTTCAGAAACATACACAGATGTCTTTGAACCTTACCTTTCAGTCTATGGTTTTCTTCCTGCATAAGTGATTGGCTGACTACTGACATTCTTGGTGTTCGACAGAACAAGCTGTCTCCTTCCAACTTGACTGATAACCAGACTGACACCCATGACTCCCCTCTTTCTGTTTCCATTTCCAATAGTCCCCCAAATCATAACTTTTCCTTTCTTTTAATATTCTGGAATGTATTGCTTTCCCAAACCACAGTATAAAATGCAGCAGGGAAATAATTATCTGCTTCTGCAGCATGCAAGTTTTAAAATTATATGCCCAGCATTACCAACACAGAGAGTTAAGACTCAAATCCCCACAGCAACAACATGCTAACCATCCTCTTCCCCCAGACTTATGGAGCTGCGGGATGTCTGCCAGGGAAAAACAGAGAAATGTAAAAAGGACTGCAAGAACATGAATACTAAAATAAATATCACAAACCTGGCTGTTGGAATCACAGACTGAGAAAAAGCTATTAAATCAGCTAAGCCATCTTCTCACTGAAGGCAGGAATGTTCTCTGTACATTAATTTCCTGCTGTTTTCTCCAGCGTGTGTTCAAATGGGCCCCAAAGTCCACTGTGTGCAATGGACACTGCTCCAGCCTTCAGAAGGCTTCACATCAGACCATAAACTCTGAGGATTGAAACACCTCTCCTAAACAATTACTGGACTAGGCAGTAGGACTACACAGATATATTTAAGTACTTTTTGAGGTCCTCAAATAAATCTTTGTATTAAGTTGGGGTTTTTTTTCACTTTTTCAGCCTGAAATTTCTGGTGTTATATCTCACCAGCATAAATATTTCCCCATCTACTTGAACTTCCCAGCCCTTTTATGCATTCTATTTATCTTTCTTTTTTTCATTTCAAGCCAATGTTTTATTTTGATCCCACTTCTCCACTCACAGATTTTGCTTTATTCTAGGTTCACTCTCATGTCCACCATCTCTCCCCATATCTCACTCCACTGACCTCACTGTTCTCCCCATCATCCACCCTTTGTCTCAAGTCTAAAAACACTTCTTGAAAATAATTCCAGCAGCACACAATATGAATCCAGACTTGAAGCAACATGGCTCATG